TGCGTTACTCTTTCCTCCTAGTTGTAGGACTTCCACTCAGCCAGCGTTCCTGTGGGTCTGGGTGATGTCCGTTCCGTCTTTTAGTTTCACTTTTGAAATGGTTGTTCGAGGCGGCAAACTCCGGCGTTAACCTATGCCGCCATCTTGGTTCTGCCAGGAGGGGATGCTCTTTGCACAAAAATAAATAATCCCTGTCTCTGGACTGATAGCCAGCCATGTGCACTATACTGCCAAACCGGTTATTAAAAAATTGAACCACGCCCTAGCTGGTTTGGCTCGGGGGGTAGGGTGTCAGTTTGTGGACTGAAGGGTCCCAGGTTCAATTCCGGTCAAGGGCCTGTACCCTGGTTGCGGGCACATCCCCAGTAGGGGGGTTGCAGGAAGCAGCTGATCCATGTTTCTCTCTCATCGATGTTCCTAACTCTCTCTCTCCCTTCCTCTCTGTAAAAAAAACAATAAAATAATTTTAAAAATTGAACTGCTTTCTTATACCTTACACCAAACAGCTGTTGCCCTTAAAACCCCTCCTCAGCCCTCACCTTTGGTTCTGCCTTCCCAGTTCACCCAGATTTGGCTCTGACTGATCAGTTTCTATGCCAGTCAATGTCAAAAGCTCCACCTTCTAGGCAGCCATTGGCTCTTTGCAGTTCAACCAGATTTGGTTCTGATTGGTTGGTTTCTATGCCAGTTGGCGTCAAAAGCTCCGCCTCCTAGGCAGCCATTGGCTCTTCTGGGACATTCAGAATGGCCCGCTGACAGCTGTCTCTCTCTCTGAGTCTACCTCTGGGCCTGATTCACAGCAGCTGCTGATCAGGCCCCGCCTCTCTCTTTCTCCAGGCCTCGCCAGTAGCCCCGGCGGTTACTGATCAGGACCTGGCTCTGCCTCCAGGCCTCTCTCTAGGCCTGATCCACAGCTGCTGTGGCAGTGGTGAGGTCATTAGGCATCCTGCCCGGCCCTGGGAGGCTAATGACCTCGCCGTGCCCGCCTCACCCCACCCACCACTCTGCCGCCCTGGCTGCCCACCTGCCTCCGGTCTTGTGGCTGCAGAGGAGGACCAAGAGGTGCTCCATGCACTTCCTGGTGACTGGTCGTCTGTCTGGTTGTTTAGGTCCTGACGGCCCTAGGCTATTATTAGTATAGATATTACAGGCAACCAGCATCACTAACAGGGCCTTTTGAACTTCAGTTCAATTATTTCAACCCCTAGGACTTCTGAAGAAAGTGAGTTGGGAAGTCGAACTATAGCAGGTGGCCCAGAGTTTTTATCATCTGAGCTGCGGACCCATTCATTTCTTAAGACCACAAACTTCTCATTGAGGAACACTGAGTTAAGGCATATGAATTCAACTATGTACTAATGGAGAAGGAGGTCTGAGAAAGGAAGGAAGGAAGGAAGGAAAGAGGAGAAAATAGTAATAGAATTCTGGCCAGCATTCCAACAGTGGGTCAGTACCCTGGAGTGCAGGTGAAACAGGAAACATGAATCCATTGTCACAATTCCCACAGACCTGAATGAGGTGAGATACAAAACCACACATGCTGTATTTCATGGGCAACTTCAGTGATTTGAGGGCATTTACTGACCACTATTTTCATTTTGTGTGCTGACTTGAGAATTTACTTCAGCACTGAACATATAAATCACAACGCTACTGCATTTCAACTTTCCTGCTAATCATGAAAATAGATGTAAGTATATGACTTAAAGGGTCAAGAATAAAAGGAAGGTTTCCTATAGAAAGGAAATTCTCAAATAGATTGTTCCGTGATATTTTAAGCCATTAGATACCTGGATAATCATGAGATTATGCACTGCACCTAAATGACTAATGGCCCCTCCCCGCTCGCCCCTCCCTGGCAAGTGTTCCCACTAAGTAGTCACTGGATTAATCCTCACTCCTTCTCTGACCAAAACTGCCCATTGTACCTGGTCTCCAGGCTGGCAGCCTCTTGAAGCATCTCATCTGTGACCGTGTCTGTGCTATAGAACTCTCTGAGAGCTTGCAGCAGCTCCTCCTTTCGATGAGCAGGCAGGCTCTCGGCGTTGAGCAGGGCTCTGGCCCCAGAGCGCATCTGCCGGCGCTCTGGGTCCTCCAGCAGGCGCACGCCCTCCTCAGAGCCAATGGGGGCCTGGAACTCCTTGGCCAGCTGCTGCTTCAAGTGGTTGTCATAGTAGTTGGAGATGGCATGGCAGGAGGTGCAGAGCAGCAGCACGTCGTGGGAGTTGTGGTCCTTCATCTCAATGGGAAAGTGCTTCCGGTACTCGTGTGGGACCACGTTCTTCCTGAACAAGCCCACCCAGAAGGCAGTGCTCATTAGCACGAGACACAGAACACACTGGTAGCTAGCATGGGGGCTGCTAGGATTCTGATCTGGGCCTGAACATAACTGTGAAGCCTTGGGTACCACAACCCGACAGGGAGGACGTAAAAACATACTACCTATTCCACTCGGCCCACCTACCTACCTATGCCCTAAGTTCCTTTAGTGAGAAAAGACCACCTGCTCTCAGGCTTCAGGGGAGAGCCAGGGGTAGGGGGAGGCTACTAAAAACCTTGAGAAGGTTGTGCTCCCAGAAGGAAAAGTATCAGAGAAATGAAAAGAAATTCTAATGGCCTTTAACAGCTGGAAAACAACTCTCTCAAAGCATGTAGCAGGTAACCTCTACTCCTGAAATCCTGGAAGCCAGGTAACTTGAAAAAGCCAATTTCCTTCATCTGAAGAATCCCTTACTCTAAGATTATTTCCCTGGTTCATCAAAGTCCATCATTATTTCTTAAAAACTAAGCTCTCAAGAAAAACTCTTGGCAGCAACAACTACTGTCTCACTTTTCAAGGGAGGAAGGAAGAACGTGAGTTACCCCCCAGAAGCCCAGGAGAAAGCCTGTGTCTGGGCACCCCAGGCTCAACAGGCAGCTTCACCTCACTACAGAACGGCCCTCCCAGACTATTCCAGAGGGAGGCTCGGGTCATCCGGGTACTGCACCAACAGTCCCACAGAGCAGAAAGCCTGCGAGCCCCTCGGGGGAGGCTTATAATGACAGAGAGAAAGGCAGCTCCTGAAGGAACTGCTCTCCATTCCCTGGTGAGCAAAAGGGACCCACTCTCTTTCTGGCAAGCCGTGACTGAGAAGAGGACTGCGTTCCGGAAACTCAGAACCGGGCTCAGGAGGGGGAGGGGCACCAGAGCAAGGCCACGCCGAGTGGCAAAACGCTCAGGGAAACTGGGATCCACCCTCAGGACCTGTCTCTCAGCCAAGTGGGCAGATGCCAGCAAGGCCCCTGAGGGCTCTGCATGTGGCGACAAAGGCAATTCCCATGGAGACAGACAAGCCGGCAACCCACACTCACCGAATGTAGGAGTCTTTCTTGCCACACACTACACACAGGTTCTCTTTAACCATCAAGTAGTAGTCTCCTGGGGATTCAGGTCTTCCCGCAGGTTCAAACTGTAGCTTGACCACAAAAGGCTCTTCACTCACCAGCTCTTAGAGAAAAGAAGTCTTAGTTAGTATCTGCCTGCTCAGCTGTGCCCCAGAGAAGAAAAACAACCTTAATTGTTCTCAGCTGTCCTGGCAAACATCACTGTTTCTGGGTCTTGAATAGGCCCGTCCCATGTGACTCAAGGTCTCTCTGCCAACTTCTGTCCATCCCTCCCCCTCCTCTCACTCCCACTCCTGCCAGTGCCCACAGGAACCTAATTCACAGATCAAATATGACAGCTGGATCTCAAACCTCCAATGCCTTTGTCCAGGTACCACTGAGCTTTCCTTCGATCACAGGTGCACAGGGGCTGTCCGTCAGGAGCGTGGAGGAAGCAGTTATCATAGAGCGGTGATTTTCTGCAGGGAAGGGAGAAAGAGGGCTAAACCTGAAAGCTAACTACTGGTCAAGGCATCAGTCATCTTCCCATGTTCTCTCCTAGTGAGCCAGGCTATTCTCAACACCAGGGACAACAACAAAACTAAACATGGGAAGAAAGCATATTAATGCCTCCATCTGCATTGGGCTAGGAAACAGAAATAAAAATGAAGAGCTTAAACTTCTAGTTTTAATATGCATGGACTGGGACATTAGGGACTAGGTTCTATTGTGAAAATAAGCAGGAACAGAGCACCAAGAAAAGTGCCCTCTGGAGTAATCACTGGATTAAACAAAGTAAATTAAAATGAAAGAACTTCAGGTTAAAGTAACGAGGGCCACGTGGGTTTATTTCTGGCTCAAATGCAACACTTGCTTCAATTTAATTATCCAATTCCTGAAGGCACTTTGCTACAGGGACCAGAGATTATTAGTCATCTTTCTTAACACGGGCATAAATTGTACAGGAAAATTCTTTTTTTAAAAAAATATATTTTATTGATTTTTTTATAGAGAGGAAGGGAGAGGGATAGAGAGTTAGAAACATCGATGAGAAAGAAACATCGATCAGCTCCCTCCTGCACACTCCCCATTGGGGGTGTGCCCGCAACCAAGGTACATACCCTTGACGGGAATCAAACCCGGGACCCTTGAGTCCGCAGGCCGATGCTCTATCCACTGAGCCAAACCGGCTAGGGCAGGAAAAGTCTCCTTGGCTAGAGAGTAACATTGGCTTAGAGCTGATGCCATTCTAAATAGTCAAATACCAAATGAACAAGAAATCAGATGACACATTTCTTCTGGAAAGTATGAGGCACTTCATGTTATTCATTTTCACAGCTATTCTGAAGCAAGCAGGAATAATTAATTATACCTTCATTTATAACTGGAGAAAGTACAGGTCTAAGGTCATCAGGGTCAGTGAGAAAGCTAAGTTAAGCTCTCCTCATTTCCACCCCAACTGCCCAACAATGAAGTAAAAAGGGTCCTAGCCGGTTTGGCTCAGTGGATAGAGCATCAGCCCGCAGACCAAAGGGTCCCAGGTTTGATTCCGGTCAAGGGCACATACTTTGACTGCAGGCTCCTCCCCAGCCCAGGCCCTGGTCGGGGTGCATGCAGGAAGCAAACAATCGATGTGTTTCTCTCACATTGATGTTTTTCTCTGTCTTTCCCTCTCTCTTCCACTCTTCCTAAAAATCAATGGGAAAATATCCTCAGGTGAAGATTTAAAAAAAAGTAAAAGGGGAAAAGGAGGAAAGTACAAAAATAAATCAAAGGATAGCTCCAAATGTCCTTGAAGGAAGAATAACCCGTGAAGAACCTTTGCTTCTTTACCACATGCCTCCTCCCACTCCCAAGGTGAGATACCACATGTGCCTTTTGCTGGAGGCTGGGCCTCTGACACTTTACTAGACAGGAAACAAGTCAATTACCTGGCAGAATAGCCCACCCCCAAGGGCTTTCTTTTATGTTTTCTGGGGTCTCTCCCTTGATGGTTGCCTGGCACCGTTACATCGACCTTAGACTTCTTATTTCCTGGTTTTTGCTGAGATTCTGTTGCTTTCCCATTAACCTCTTCTCCCAATCTGCTAATTCCTTTGCTTCGGAATGGGATGTCTACCAAATCCTGGCATTTCTCCAAAACTTTTCTCCAGCCAATGAGGTCATCATTTTCATCTAAAGTTGGATTCCTAGAGAAAGGGTATCCAAGAAGATGGAGAAAGAGAGCCACTGAAATCTGGGCATCCCTGGCAGCATAAATTACCTGAAGAGAAAAGTCAGAGATCAGTGGAATCTAGAAGGCAAACCAGAGAGAGCAACTTCAAAGTCATCACAAAGATGTAAACAACTCTCAGGTCTAATTCACATTGTATGATAACCTAGACATCTTCTTAAATTTTTATTATGAACAATGTAAAACTATACAAAAGCAAATCAAATAGTGTAATGAATCCTCATGTTCCCTATGTTTTAACTAAAATAATTAAAATAATGACTTACTTTAAATGCTTGAAAATCCTAATCTATATAAATCAGTGAGGTTTCTTTCTGTTTGCATAATTTCATTGTATATGCTACCAAACCCACTGGACAGATTTTTTTTCAACTCTGGAGTAGGGTAGTTACCACAGGTATGACAACGAGTACACGAACTTCGCTTTGGGGATAGTCTCATTTAGAACAGCTGAGACCAACATTCATTAAGAGGCCTGTGTGACTGCCCTAGCTAGTTTGACTCAGTGGATAGAGCGTTGGCCTGTGGACTGAAGGGTCCTGGGTTTGATTCTGGTCAAGGGCACATGCTAGGTTGCGGGCTCAATCCCCAGTACAGGGTATGCAGGAGGCAGCCGATCAATGATTTTCTTTCATCGTTGATGTTTCTATCTCTCTCTCCCTCTCCCTTCCTCTCTGAAATCAATAAAAATATATATTTTTAAAAAATCACAAAGCCCATTTCTGGAATTTATTTATTTAATAATGAGAAGTCATTCTCCCAAGCAACTGGTTACAAGCAAGGTGATCATAAATAGATGTAGTCAATGGTATAATTAATAGCTTTTCTCAAAAAGGCTATAAAGACTTTAAGATTACTTTATTATTTTTTAAAATATATTTTTATTGATTTCAGAGAGGAAGGGAGAGGGAGATAGAAACATCAATGATGAAAGGGAATCATTGATTGGCTGCCTCCTGCACACCCCCCCTGGAAATTGAGCCCCCAACCTGGACATGTACCCTGACTGGAATCAAACCATGACCTCCTGGTTAATAATAGGTCAGCACTCAACCACTGAGCCACACTGGCTGGGCTAAGATTATTTTAATTCACCGTAATAATCAAGCCAGTCATGGACACAAATAACAGTGTGGTGACTGCAGTGGAGAAGAGGGTGGGTGAAGGTGGAAGAGGGTTTGGGGGGATAAATGATGATGGGGGGGGGATTTTAAAAATTAAATTTAAAAAGCACACACACAAAAATAAGCCTGGTAAATGGAACTATTAGTATGGATTTTTTAAATGCTTAATAAAATTTCCATCTAGACCCAACAATCTACATATCTATAGCAAGTTGTCTCCCACTGGAAAAGAGTGTACTTCAATGTGAAAAGTTCAGAGTGCTTTTTAACAAATTATTTTTCAAGTGATAAAAAAAACCCAAGGCACTTGCAACAAATGGTGCTGAAACAACTGGACATCCACATGCAAAAGAATAAAGTTGGATCCCTACCTCATATCACACAAAAATTAACTCAAAATGGATCATAAACCTAAGTGTAAGAGCTAAAACATGAGACTCTTAGAAGAAAACAGAGGAGCCAATGATTATGACTATGAGTTAGGCAATGATTTCTTAGATATAAAATCAAAAGCATGAATAATTTTTTAAAAATAAAAAACTGACCCGATCAAAATTAAAATCTTTTGTGCACCCTGGCCGGTTTGGCTCAGTGGAGCGTTGGCCTGCGGACCAAAGGGTCCTGGGTTTGATTCTGGTCAAGGGCACATGCCTGGGTCGTGGCCTCAATCCCCACTAGGGGGCGTGCAGGAGGCGGCTATCCATGATTCTTATCGATGATGATGTTTCTATTTCTCTCTCCCTTCCTCTCCCTTCCCCTCTGAAATCAATAAAAATCTATTATAAAAATACAAACTTTTGTGCTTCAAACAACTCCACCAAACCTAGCTGTTGGGGGAGGAGGGAGGAAACAGGGATGCTGCCGGGGGCTTTCAAATCCGCATCCTCACGAGGTTTTTTTCCTGGGTGATAAAATGTTCTAAAATTAGATTGTGATGATGGTTGCATAACTGTAAATATACTAAAATCCATTTATTGTACATTTTAAATGGGTGAAATTTATTGTATGTGAATTATGTTTCAGTAAAACTATTATACTTGATCTTAGTCAAAAGGCCGAGAGACAATTCAGTAAAACTATTAAGAGGAAGGAAGCAAATAAGGAATGAATGAACAAACGAAGATCAGGATCACAGCAAATCAGAAATGGCTGTAGAAACCAATTTCACATAATTTGATTCCTAGAACTCTCTCACAGGATAATATTAACCTTAAGATACTAATTATTGCTAACTCCATTAACAACATTTTGGAAGGATGAACAAGTGGTAACTGACTTGGCCACCAAGAGAAGGCTGAAACCTAGACCTATTATAGGGGGTAGAAGCCAAAAATTAAAAATCAAATTAATCTGAGCCACAAAGAATGGCAAAGCATAAGGAACGGGAGGCAGCAGTTTGTGAAAGCAAGGATACACGTAGGGGTGAAAACAGAAGGATAAGGTGAAAGTCTCCATAAAGCACACTTAAACCCCAGACCTCTTTATACCACAGGGCCAATTACTCCTTCTCTAATCCAAAAGAGTAAAAGTTTATAAAACCAAAACTAAAATGGAGCAGAAACCGGTTTGGCTCAGCGGACAGAGCGTCGGCTTGCGGACTGAAGGGTCCTGGGTTCAATTCCGGTCAGGGGCATGTGCCTTGGTTGCGGGCGCATCCCCGGTGGGGGGTGTGCAGGAGGCATCTGATCGATGTTTCTAACTCTCTATCTCTCTCCCTTCCTCTCTGTAAAAAATCAATAAAATATATTTTTTAAAAAAAACTAAAATGGAGTCATTTATGTCAGGGACAAAATGAAACGGGCCAAAGCAGGCACATTAAAGAAAACAAAACTTCACCTAACATAAATTGCAGGAATATTTATAGCTCTCCTCAGAAATTAGCAGAGGACGCCAACCAATACCCAAACACCAAGTCTGTTCATACCATCTTTGGACTTCCTTGTTCCTGTCTCAGCTACCCGGATCCAAATAAGGAAGAAGACCACTAGACAACCAATAAGCTGAAAAAGCCAAATAACTTCTGCATTTACCATCATCTGTGAGCAACTCAGAACTCATTGCTCCCGTAGCCTTGAATTTCCCGGCTTGCAAGTTGAAACCCTTACAATAAACTCATCTTGCCCTAACTGGGTTGGCTCAGTGGATAGAGCATCAGCCTGCGGACTGAAGAGTCCCAGGTTTGATTCCAGTCAAGAGTATGTACCTTGGTTGCGGGCACATCCCCAGTAGGGGGTGTGCAGGAGGCAGCTGATCGATGTTTTTCCCTCATAGATGTTTCTAACTATCCCTTTCCCTTCCTCTCTGTGAAAAATCAATAAAATATATTATAAATAAATAAACTCATATTGTTTTATTCAATGTGTAGAATTTGGTTTTTGACAAGTTCAAGTCATATAATGGCTAAATCACAGAGGATCTGGACCTAGTAAAACCAGGCATGGTGGAGGTTGGAGGCAAAATGTCACCTGAAAAAGAGGGGATTCCGGGAAAGTCTAGGTACTGAATGGTAAGACTAGCAGCACCTTTCCCTCATTCAGCCATCAGAATGTAGGCTGTGGGGCTTATACCTCTTGAGCAGAAGACTAGAAGATTCATCTATGGAGAAACTGAGTAGCCTAAGAGGAAAGACTTACAGTTACTGACATTTGACTGTAACTGATAATGTTATCTAGTGTTTTATTATCTATAGTTACTGATAATAAAACCCACTAGTTCAAAAGCCCTGGCCATATGTGCTATGGTCTCAATCCATTTTTTTAAACGTCAAAATTAAAAATTATTTTCTGCATTTCCTAAAATTTCATTAAGCGTTATTTTAGACCAATTATCTTGGTTTCATCAGACAAGGAATCTATTTTAAGGCACTTCTGCCCAATACTTATATTTGAGGATTAGGACTTTAACAACAATTATACTTCACAACCAGTGTCTCTTCCATTCTTCAAGCACTCTGATAAGAAGTACCTGGTCCTCCGTAAGATTCTCAGCATCCCAGTTGCTGCAACGAAGTACAAGGGACTTGTCAAGGGGAAAGTTCAAAACAGTCTCAGCAAGTGATTTCAGGCTAAGCCCATTACAGAGCAAATTGTTCCTACAAAAAATAAATAAAATCATTTATCAAAATGGAGAAAGAAAAAGAACAGGCAAATAAAAGAAACATAAACAGCTAATAAACAGATGACAGATATTCAATCTCACTAGACATCAAGTAAGATAAAATCATACAATTTTTAAACTAGATTGCAAAGATTTATTTAAAATAACTATATCTAGTATTGGTGGAACATGAAGAATCAGACAGTTTAACCTAACATTTGTGAACTTTGCATTTTTTACAACCTTTATGAAAAACAGTTTAACAATAAATAGTGATCAAAATGTTGAACATGAAAATTCTGATTCAACAATTCCATTTCTAGAAATTCAGCCTGAGGACAAATGTACATATAATAATCTTCATTACAGCACTATTTACTGTAGCAAAGAATCAGGAAAAACCTAAATGCCCATCAATGGAAGACTGGTTAAATATCCATGCAATTAAATTATATACAGCTATTACAAATAAGAATGTGGATCCATATTGATGTGAAAAGATGTCCATGATACATTAGTTAAGTAAAAAGAGACTGTGAAGGAAAACATATGCTATGGTCCCTTTATGATAACATATATACTACATAATAAATGTGTGTATGTGATTCTAGGTATGTGATCACAGAGGGAGGAAACACAGAGAGATAACTAGAAACAAATCGATCAAATGTGAGTGATATCTCTTGTTGTGAGACTTGGAATGATTATATACCTCTTCATATTTTTCTATGTTTGAGTTGGCTACTGTTCATGTATAACTTTCAAATTTGAAAAAATGACAAGGCTATTTTCATTGAGGGATAGAATCTATATATATATAAAAGCCTAAGTGACCGTTATGACCAAATGACTGGAACAACCAGAACCACTGGTTGACCAGTTGCTATGATGCACACTGACCACCAGGGGGCAGACGCTCATCGCAGGAGCTGCCCCCTCATGGTCAGTGCGCTTCCATAGCTAACCTCCAGCTGCCCCTCCCCCCAGCCAGCCAACCTCCCTCGGCCCCTTCCCCTGGCCAGCTGGCCCCCCCCATAGGCCTCAGTCGCCTGCCAGGCTGAGGGACCCCACCCATGCATGAATTCATGCACTGGGCCTCTAGTATACAATAAAATTAAGTATCCTTTCTGCTCTCCAAACACTTTCTGGTTAAAATAGCTACGGGGTGGTGGAAAAATTAATGTGTACAAGAATAAGAGATTCCAAATAAGAGTTAACTGTGAAATTAAGAACATGTTGGTCTACAAAAATGAAGCTGGAGATTCCAAATGACTGCAGAGTAAGTGGAAGCTACACTGACATGCTCCCAGGACCAAACTGGAATTATAACTAAAATACAGAAAAACCTTCCTAAATAATCCACTGAAGACTAGCTGAAATGAACACTGATAACCAAGGATGGAAAGTGGAGACCATATAGAAACTGGTAATAAATGTGGAGGCACAAAAGGGCTGGCCAGGCTCCCACAGACTGAAGCTGAAGTTCTGGAGGGATATCTCAGCTGTGGGGCATTTCCACTGAAAACTCTGGGGTCTAAACCCCAAGCAGGGTTCCCCAGCCCAGAGCACCAGAACTGAGAAAGGTGCCCACATAACATCTGGCTGTGAAAAGCAGTAGGGTTTCTGTCTGTCAGGGAGAGATGGCTGGAAATGCAAGCACACTCTTACAGGGCCAACACACAAATTTTTGTGTGCAGCCACTCACCTTGGGCTCCAGCACAGGGAGGGCAGAGTGGACTGGAGCTGTGTGAGCAGAAGCCAGGGTTGGGAGTTCTGGGGTTAGAGTTCAGAAGGTAGACACCCCAAATTCCTGTGCTGAATCATTCCCTCATATTGCAGAGGACATCTTTCTCTGGCAGATCTTTACCATTCAGGCAGCTTTTGCCTGGGGGTAGAGATGTTTTGCAATTGCCCCACCCTATTAGAAAATCCCCAGCTCCACCCTGTGGAGTTTCTGAGCCCATTAAGAAACTGAGAATAGCCAAAACCAGTTTGGCTCAGTGGATAGAGCATCGGCCTGCGGACTGAAAGGTCCCAGGTTCGATTCCAGTCAAGGGCATGTGCCTGGGTTGCGGACATTTCCCCAGTGGGGGATGTGCAGGAGGCAGCTGATCAATGTTTCTCTCTCATTGATGTTTCTGGCTCTCTATCTCTCTCCCTTCCTCTCTCTCCCTTCCTCTCTGTAAAAAAATCAATAAAATATATTTTTAAAAAAAGAGAGAGACTGAGAATAACAATCTGCATGCAGGCAGAAGCAATTGACCCACCCTGTTGGAAAACCTGTCACCCCACCTGTGGCTGATAGCCTGAGGTTAATCAAGACTAAATAACAATCAGACTGTAGGAAGAAGCTGGTCTCTGGAGGCTCTGAGTCTTTGCCTGATCTAATTCTTGGCCCGGGGCTAGAAAAAGCAGACTGTGGTGCACATCTTATTTCTTTCCAAAGGCACCCAGCCCTAGCGGAGGAAGCCATAAGCTGTGGATTGCTGATAGCTCCAAACAGGATGCTCAGGGCCAGTCACAAACAGCATCTGACATTGTCCTGCATTAGAGATTGGAAGTCACAGCAGATATATCTAATGCATAAACACAAACCCAAATAGGCAGGAAAAATGGGAAGACAAAACAAGCCCAAGTGAAAGAACAAGAGAATTCTCCAGAAGAGCTGAATGAAATGGAGATAATAAATTTATCGGATAAGAGTTCAGAATAATGATGGCAATGATGTTTAGCAGTATGAGAAAAGATATAGTAACTATGAAAAAAGAGCAGTCAGAAATAAGAATGGCCAAAACCGGTTTGGCTCAGTGGATAGAGCGTCGGCCTGCAGACTGAAAGGTCCCAGGTTCGATTCCAGTCAAGGGCATGTACCTGGGTTGCGGGCACATCCCCAGTAGGAGATGTGCAGGAGGCAGGTAATCGATGTTTCTCTCTCATCGATGTTTCTAACTCTCTATCTCTCTCCCTTCCTCTCTGTAAAAAATCAATAAAATATATTTTTAAAAAACGAAATAAGAATGACATAGTATTAATAAAGAACAGACTGGAAGGAATACACAGAAGATTATGGGAAGCTGAGGATCAGATCAGTGAATTATAAGGGTAGAAAAAAAAATCAGAGAACCAAAATGAAAAACGGTTAAAAAACTTAAGGGAGCTATGGGACAATATGAAATGTAATAATATTCTCATCATAGGAGTACCAAGGGGGAGAAAGTGAGCAAGGGATAGAGAATGTATTTGAAGAAATAATGGCAGGAAACTCCCTAACCTGGTGAGGGAAAAAGTCACACAAGTTCAAGATGCACAGAGAGTCCCAAGCAAGAGGAACCCAAATAGACCCATCCCCAGACACATCATAATTAAAATGCTAAAATTAAAGACAAAGAGAGACTCTTACAAGAGAAAAGCAAGCTGTTACCTACAAAGGAGTTCCCATAAGGCTGTCAGCTGATTTCTCACCAGACACTCTACAGGCCAGAAGGGAATGGTGTGAAGTGTTCAAGGTAATGAAAAGCCAGATTACTATATTTAGCAAGGCTATCATTCAAAATAGATGGTGAAATAAAGAGCTTCCCAGACAAAAAAGAAAGGCTAAAGGGGTTTATCAATACCAAACCAGCACTGCAAGAAATGCTAAAGGGACTGCTGTATTGAGAAGAAATAGAGAGAGAGAAACATAGGCATAAAGAACTAAAATGGCAATAAATAGTTACCCATCAATAATGGATTAAATGCTCCAATCAAAAGATATGGTAGCTAAATGAATATGAAAACATGACCCAAGTATATGCTGTCTACAAGAGACCTACCTCAGAACAAAAGACTCACACAGGATGAGAATGAAGGGATGGGAAAATTTTTTCCCTGCAAATGGAAATGAAATAAAACCCTGGGGTAGCAAACCTAATGTAAGACAAAATAGACTTCAAATAAAGGCCATCACAAGAGACAATAAAGGTCACCACTAATAATAAAGGGATCAATCCAACAGAGGATATAACCCTGGTAAGCATATAT